TTATTATTAGTGCAGTGCCACCGTACACGTCCCTGTGAACGAGCTGTTACTATAGAAACGATATCGTATGAGACCGCATTAATATAAACCTGCGCTACTGTCAGAGCTGCTGTTATAGACAATTAATCAACACCTTCTGACCAATCACAATCCAGAATTCAACAGCATCGCTGTTGTGTAAACAGTAACATTACATTATAATGGATGTGTCTCGTCTCTCACACACACACACACACACACACACACACACACACACACACACACACCACCCTGTTGTTGATTATTTTCCTCTATCAGCACAGCCGGAGGTGGTATAAAACGTTTTCTAACTGATATTGACCTATATTTAGGGGTAAATCTAATTTCTGATTTGTTTTCATTCATCACAAAAACAGTGTAAAGAATCCTGAGAGCAGATTTCATCACCTCAGTGTAGAACGACAATAAAAATGGCCGCCGTGGGCGTGTCCCCCTGTGAAGCACCCTACGTAGGGGTCATAACTTCAGAATGGACCGCAGTGAGTGAGGGATTCGTATTTTACCCAGAATCATCTTTACTCTAAAAGGTAATTATCTACCTTAAATCTCTTTACAGGTCACTATATCCACATTTCCATGTGACAGGTGCATAATAAAAGGTAAAAAAAGATAAAGCTAGCACTCCAGCGACAGGTAAAGTCCAGATTAGTGCTTTTTTTTCCCCTCTGAGAGTGTTGTCAGTTATCAGACTCACTCTGATGCTAAAGCGTAACACCTGCTCATGCACAAGACTCATCAGTGCTCAGATTTCCTGTTACTGACACGTAATTAAGAGATCGAATGGAGCAGAGCGTCAGGAGATGTACAGCGTGTAGGCATGTAGATCTCTCGCTTTTCATCTCACACCATTTTCTCTTCTCACTCAAAGTCACACCACACCTTCTCCAGGTTTAAGCCTTTTTCCAGGTGCAGTTACGCTGATAAATAATATATTTTACTGGCACAAAATATCTCCTGTTCCTGCCTCGGAGAAACTCCTTCTCTTTCTCACTTCAGTCGTCATTTAGTCGTGTTTCCAGCCCTCGACCTTTTATGGAGTTTTGTGGGCGTGTGTCACGAACGCACTTCACACTTTAATCAACATACGCACACGAGTACGAAGAACGTCGACGTTTCCGAAACGTTTGAAATCCGGCGGAAAATTATAGTTCGGTTTGGTTTACAAACGTTTACACACAAGTTTGATAAAAGACTGATGAATGTGTTAGAAATTTTACAGACAAGTCAATCACTAAAAAGATCTTTTTAACAAAGAACAATAATAAAAAGGAACAATAAAGAACAATAAAGAAGAAGAATAAAGAGAAATATTAAAGAAAAACAAAAAAGAATATGAAAAATAAAGAAGAAGAATAAAGAAAAACAATAAAGGATATCAAGGACACATCACATCCACACCACCACCTGTTTCATCTCGTGCGGTACAGATCCTTAAGAACAAGGACCACTCGCTTTCAGGACAGTTTTTTCCCCAAATGCTATCAGGACTATAAACTCACAAATGCACTAAACGTAAAATATCAATGTACAGCACTCCCTCTGATCACTGTGTCCAACTCCAGTGACTTATTTCATCAATCTCTACTTCTGTCTACACTTGCTGTTTATATCATATGTAGAATGTCAGTGTGCAACACTATCACCTGATCACTTTATTTATCAGGACTCTAAACTCTCAATGCACTAAATGTAGAATGTAAATGTACAATTACTGTCTCTGCTCATTTACTCAACTACAGTCACTTATTCCATTTCAGTCTGTACTTCTGTGTGTCTTTACTAAACTGTTTACACCAGTGTAGAGGTTAATGTGCAATACTATCACTGCTCACTTATTCAGAATGTTCTGAATGTTCACTGTGCAATATTATGACTTGCTGTATATACTTTATACTTTATACTGTATACCTGCTGTACATACATACATACTTTTATACTATACAGTATACTCACTTTATAGTCTTATTTATTGTCTGATGTTATATGTTTGTTTTTATAACACCAGTCAGAAGCAGTGCTCCTAATTTCATTGTATACAGAGATATACAATGACAATAAAGTCTTTCATTCATTCATTCATTCATTCATTCAAAGAAGAAAGAGGAATAATAAAGAAGAAGAATATAAAAGAAGAATAAAGAGGAATAATTAGAGCGTCTGATCTTTATGTGATCATTTTGTTTATGTGTAAAATGTTCACATATCATTACAGACATATTTCCTTTAGTTTTCAGCATCAGCTTGTGTGTTTAAAATGGCGGTCAGGTTTTTAGAGATTACAGTAAATTATAATACCTGATATTTTAAACTGTAACACATGTACAGGACACAGCCAACATTATTATTATTATTATTATTATTATTATTATTATTAGGGCTGTGTGATGGACAGAATCAATACTGTAATATTATATACACACACTTCATCGTTACGGTCAACTTTTCTAATATCGTTGTTACATCATTTTCTCTCATTTTCTTCCTAGAACAATGAATTTATTTCAGAAACACAGAACAAAAACACCTGAACCTGTAACAGCCCCTTACTTTACACATCTTTATATATGTTTTATGTATATGTGGCATTTTGTCATATTACCCACAATGCACTACAGGTCACACAGACTGCTAATCAGGACATTTACTTTCATTCTGCATCACTCAGGACGGATTACAGAGCAGCAGTCATGTCACGTCCTGCACAGCAACGAGTGTGTGTGTGTGTGTGCGTGCGTGTGTGTGTGCGTGCGTGTGTGTGTGAGACAGACATACAGTGGTTAACGCTTCTCTTCTTTTCTGCTTTCACTTCCTTTAGTTTAAAGAGGAAGCTGATGAATCGCACCCCATCGAGTCGAGTATAAACTACGATAAACATCTCACACACACACACACACACACACATACACACACACACAGAATGAGAGAGACAGACAGTGTGTGTGTGTGTGTGTGTGTGTGTGATTACCTGACACATGAATTGTGGTATGACTCTGTGGAAGATGGAGCCTTTGTATCCAAAACCATGTTCTCCTGTACACAGAGCTCGGAAATTCTCTACACACACACACACACACACACACACACACACACACACACACACACACAGTGTAGTTACTCACTCATGTGTGTGTTGAATTTCCAAACACACACACACACATCATATTTTAATAATAATTTGTTAGTTTTTCTGTTTTTAATTTGTACTCAGATGTGTAAAAAATTTTTTTTTTACAATTTTAAAGATTCAGTCAGTAGAAAATTCTCTTCTCTGCTTGTTAAAAAAAAAGATATAACGATACCCATAATACCTAAAAAAAAAAAAAAAAAAAAAAAAAAAAAAAAAAAAAAAAAAAAAAAAAAAAAAAAAAAAAAAAAAAAAAAAAAAAAAAAAAAAAAAAAAAAAAAAAAAAAAAAAAAAAAAAAAAAAAAAAAAAAAAAAAAAAAAAAGTGTATTGTGATATAATTAATCACATTATAACACAAAAAAAACCAACAACAAATAAATCATTTAAACGGAAATTGATTTAAACACGGAATCGAACTCCATGTAAATAACGTGTAGCTCGAATAACAAACAAAAAAAAGATTCAGGCTGCTCCAGCTACAGCGAGGCTAAGGCTAAACGGCCGTTTCTATGGTAACGCTTATCGTCAAACCTCAGGAACGTTATCGTCTTCCTGCTACACGGGACAAAACATAACGGCTTTTACACTCCATGAAGTGCACAATTTAATCTGAGCTTTTTACAGTTTATTTCCATTAAAGTTCACGAAGATTCATCGCCAATTCTCTCCTACGCATCAGCCAATCACATCGCACGATCCATTTCCCGTCTGTTAGCATTACTGCTAATACGGTGATGTCAGAAAAAAGGTTCTGATTCATATTCACTTACAGTAAGATCACGGTTATGAAAATATAACATCAATATCGCAGTAAATCACGCTACAGTACGCCTTCCCTGCTCATCGCTGACATCATCATTAAACATTAAACCCACATTTCCTGACCGTTATTTCATTCGGTTTTGTTACATACTTCTACAACTTACAGTAAAATACGACTGAAATCTGCTTTTGTGGTTTTTTAAAAGTAATTTCTATTACAAACTTAAATACTACGATGTTTATTGTTTACAGTAAAATTATCTTCATGTGTTGTGATATGATATTTCTGTCATATCGCCTCCATTACTCTACAAATATATTATTATTACTCTATAAATATATCATTATGATCTGCCACGCCTACTCAGATCAAAAGGTGCAGGCTCTTTGTTGGTACCTCGAATAGTGCGTGCTACAGCTGGGGGTAGAGCTTTCTCTTACAAAGCCCCACAGTTATGGAACAGCCTTCCACTTAGTGTTCGGGGCTCAGACACAGTCTCAGTGTTTAAGTCTAGGCTGAAAACATATTTGTTTAGTCAAGCCTTTTGTGAATAGTTTTTTCTTAGGTACAGGGGCAGGTCTGGA